CAGGGGAGCTAGGCCTTACAGTCAGAGAAACGCCAAACGGAGTGTACATCGAGAGTCTGAGACCAGCCAGCACGGCAGATCGCTGTGGCGCATTGCAGCCAGGTGACAAACTCTTAGCAGTGGACGAGACTCCGGTCCAGGACGCCTTAGCTGCGGCTAAATTACTGAGGAACAATTACGACTCGCGTATAGCCAGGCTTCAGATTTTACCAAGGCCTCCCAGCGCATCGCAGAGGACCGTGAAACGGCGAGCGCAACCGCAAGCGCAACAGAACTCCAGTCAAACTTTACAGACTAAAGAGAGTTTGACGGTGGTCCTGAGACCTGATCACAAAGGCTACGGGCTGGCTTTGAAACCTGCCGAGGATCGAATGAATTACGTTGTCAGTTTATTGGAAGCTGGTGGGCCGGCGGAACGCAGCGGGGTTCTTCTGCCTGGGGATAAAGTGGTCGCGGTTAATCGTATGATGCTGAGGGATCTACAACCGAACGAGGTGACCGGCATCTTGGAGAATTCCCAAGTGGTGAGCTAATTAGTTTTGCACGCTCGTTTATCGTCTTAAATTCCAAGTACCAAGGTTCGTCTTCGTTTCTGGGTTAAACGATTAATTTAATGTGATAGTAATTGGTACAATGTCTGTGACTCATTCTTCTCTATTCGTTTTTCATACGGTTTAAAATCATTGAAATTAGAATATTGAATTTTTTTGAAATGATTGAGTCTCGTTTAGATCGAGCTGGTGATAGAGTACAAGGTCGGAGGGCCAGTAGTGCCCAGTTCAGGCGTGTTCACTGTACGAGTGGCTAGACCGATCGGCGGTCAACCGGATGTGGGGCTCACGGTGAACGAAGATTTAATCATCACCGAGGTGCGCAAGGGATCTCTGGCTTATAGGACTGGCAGTCTGGCTCCAGGGGACAGATTGCTGGCCATCGATGGTCAAAAACTGGACCCCGGCGATCTCAGGCAAGCTGCTCAACTGTTGCATCGACCTGGAAGCTCAGTGATCGCTTTAACTGTGCGGAAACCAGACCCAAATTCAGAAAACAGGTAACTAGTCGGTTGATAAGAAAATAATTTTCGATTTTTATAAAAACTGAAGTCAGTTTGTTCTTTCAAAAAATGTTTCTTTGTATATAATTGTGGTATTTGAACAAAGATTGGATTTTTTTTATAGGGAATACTGCAAGGAGTCCAGTATAGGAAGCGACACGGTGCAACAGTACCCGGCGGGAATCTTGAGACCAGCCAGGGAGAGTTTACCCAGCGTGGATAGCGCGGTGGATTCTTGGGGAGAATTGGGGGAGAACAGTGGAGCGGGACCGGAGATCCTGAGGCTCTGGGAGACGGCTTCCGTGGACAGTGGCCAATTAGATCTGCCCATGCCTCCTTTCCCTGGGTAAGAATTTCTCCTTGTATAAATCTCTTTTTCATAATTAGTGCTATAAATAATCAATTAAGGATGTATCGGCTATACAGTCAATCCCAAAAGTTTATGCACTTTAGAAACACATTTTTTAAAAAGAAATCAGACGTCCAAAGAACATTGCTAATAATAAACAACAAAAAAAAATTTTTTTATTTTTCCGAGA